GTCCATTACTCGGGTGAAGACAGCGCAAGAGGTAGGATTTTACTGCGCAGTTATTCATTTCACTGGTTTTTCCAGGAAACAGAAGTGCTGTTACATTTCTGTTCAGAATTACATGAAACCTCTTATGTTCCAGGAAAGAAGGCTAGCAGCCAACATCTGGTCAGATGAGCCGTTAAAAGGACCTTAAAAGGTGAGAAAAATCACTGGCTGCACAAATGTACGTTTTGCGAGAGGGCTTTTTGTTTGTAAAATGTACCCGATAAGTTATTCTGAATCAACAATGTTGTATTATAATTAGCTGTTTCAGCTAATGTTGTAAGCATTTATATATAATATCAGCATTGCCTGCTTGATACAAGTTCTCTGTCAAAAGCTTTTGGAACCACACCCTGTCGTAACGGTTGCTGGCCAACAAGAACAATGGACATTGTTGACACAACTTAACCTACTTCCCAGGTGCATGGAGAAGGTAAATAAATCTAAAGAGGTCCAACTACAGCAATGTAGTGTAAATAACAATATCTAATATCTTTATTGGAGGAAAAAGGTGTCCTTATGAGCACTAAACCAACATTCAAAGTTAGTTATGTAGAAATCAGAAATATTTTCTTAAAATGTTTGTGGTTATTAAGCACAGCCAGCAGAAAGGACAAAGGCATACAAGAATGTTGGCGTCTTCTGTTAGAAGATTATACAAAGCTAACTTCGAAAAGTATATGAATTTAACAGACACACACTAAAAAACACGATGGTAGGTACATACAAATGGTGAACAGAAAATGTTTAGAAAAACTCACAAAAATTGCCATAAAGTGTCTATTTTACTCACCAAATACATGATCATTTTGTAAAAAAACTATAATCACATCAAATAACGGTTGAAAAGAACAAGGGCTTAATGTAGCCTTATACATTTTTTACTGGAAATGGGACGCCCCCCCATCCTTTCCAGGTATATATATTAAATTCTCTATTCCAGATCTCTCTCTCTTAATTAATTATTACTTTGAGTGGTCAAGGGGCAGACAGCAGACAGTCAATATTGGGATTGGACTTTGAGAGGATGACCAGCCAAAAGGAGGCGCAGAGAAGCCTGTTAGACATGAAAACCATCTTTTTTCTGGACAGTCTCCCAGCTGCTCTGGAGTTGACAGGGAGCGGCTAGCAGGAGCTACCTCTTGTTGGCCCGCCCAGGCTACCGGGGGCTTGCTGACAACTGACTTTTTAAAATGCAGAGCCGGGCTTCAATCGCTACAATTCCAGAATGCAACCTTGCAAATAAACTACATTCAACACATGTAGCCTACCGTTAGCGGTGAAGGAAGCAGGGTTGTTGTTACAAGGGGGTTAAATTGACTGTGGTCAACTCAGCCGTCTCTCGCATTTGCTTGGTCAAATGAGCAGCGCTTCATTTTTGAGTGCGCGATTAATAGCGTCTTTACGGTAATCGCCGAGAAGCGGCGCTAACGGTAGTACAAGTGCTTATGCTATTTGATCAATCAATCAATGATATTTGATGAGGGATACAATAATTGTTAGCCATAAGTTCTTAATACAATTGGTACTGTTGGACTCTGTACTTGTTAGACTACTACCACAAATACAATCAAGTAATTTTACTGTGTACTATTTGAGTAATACTCTGTCAAACTCCCCTCCAGAGCACATAATGCATTTTTTCTGCCCTCTTTGATGAGAGATACAATCATTTTTTGCAACAAGTTCTTAATAAAATCGGTTATGTTGGATTGAGTACTACTTGGACTACTACCAAGAGTACAATCAAGTACTTTTACTGTGTACTTTTAGGAGGGGAGTTTGACAGGGGATTACTCAAAAAGTACACAGTAAAAGTACTTGATTGTACTCTTGGTAGTAGTCCAAGTAGTACTCAATCCAACATAACCGATTTTATTAAGAACTTGTTGCAAAAAATNAAAAAGGTTTTTCTCTTCTTCATTCACAGATGAACCCCCTTATTGGAGAGTAAGCAACATGCATTATCATAACATGTTAGATCATGACTTAAGGTATGATGAGTCAACCAGTTAAGATCCAGACGTCCGTGACTAAAATCCTTAATTCGGTTAAATATAATATATAAAAAACGCAATATATATCGCAGGGGAAAAAAATATCGCAATATCAGTTTTTTTCAATATCGTGCAGCCCTAATACAGATTGGGACACAATCAGGCTTTTTTTCTACTAATATGACTGTAGCATTAGAGTAGAAAAGTAGGAAACAAGGCAAGCCTGAGCCAGCCATAGCTATATAAGCTTTATCAATGCAAATGTTAATAACTGCATTTGAGATTAAACTGATCATTATCTTCCTGACATTCTAGAAACCAAACAATTCATTGATTCACAAAGGAAATCACCTTTACAATAATCATTTGTTTGGGCCCGGAATCACATTAAATTGGTCAAAAATGGCCTTTTCC